ACTATTGGGCAGAACTTTAAAGTGCATTACCAGGCCACACACTTCCACCAACCCAAAGTCAAGAGTGTCATCAGGTCAGGTCACTACTAACACCTCTCAGGCTTTCCCCACTCCATGGAAACTCAGTTATGTGATGTCCCCACCAAGGCAGGCAGTAAATTCCCTGATTTATGTCTTTGTCTTTGCTCCATCACTGTAAGAAGTTCACGTTGCCACTTCCTCATTGGGACATTCAAGGCAACCTGAACCCGTGTTTCTGGTCCGTTCTCACTCATCCATGACTCAGAAAAACACTCACTTATTACCTTTGAAGTTAGACCTGTTTTTTTCAGCAGGAGGTCCTAAAAGTTTTGAAGCTGTCTTATTCATGAGTTCCTCTCCTCTGCTTCCTCTTTCCTGGAACCCAGAGTCTTTTGGATACTGACATTCTTGACTTGATTCTATTTTCTTATCTTTGTTCTCTTTCCCATTCTGCATTTTAGTTTGATCTTTTGGAAGTCTGCTAAGATTTTTGTTGTTGTATGTTTGAGACAAGGTGTTAGCGTGTTGGGATGATCGGCAAGTCCTTTCATCTGTGTTCCTTTTAGACAGTCTTGCTAACATAGAATAGTTCAGAGGGTGAAGTCCCGAAGGCCTGACAGGAAGACTGCAAAGTTAGCTTGGGAGGTGATGCTCCGTGTGCATCAAGTACCTTGTAAGTTGCTCTTTGGAAATATGACTAACAGGTAACTTTTGTCACAGGCAGCTGGATGGAACGTTTTCTGGGATAGATTAAATATGATTTATATGTCAGCATCATAAAAATTAAAACATGTATATTGGTTTTGGAGACAGGGTTTAGGATTTCTCTGTGTGACTCTGGCTATTGTAGAACTTGCTCCATAGACCAGGCTGGCTTCAAACTCACAGATCTGCCTCTGCCTCCCTAGTGCTAGGATTGAAGGCATGTGCCACCACCATGTAGCTAAAACATAAATTTCTACAAAAAAAAAAATTAGCACATGAGAGAAACAGTTGGCAAACAGTTGACACTGCCTAGAAAAGCCTGGAAACTCCAAACAGTTGACACTGCCTAGAAAAGCCTGGAAACTCCTAACATAGGCGCAGAGTCATTAGAGTCTGTGTCTGGCGGTAGCCTGTGGCTCACTGTAATAAAAAAAAAATCCTCCTGATTGGTGATTTAATATGCTAATGAGACGCAATTCATGAGGTTGTGTGTACCAACTACACATAACAAAAGAATAGACATGACCCCAAAAGCCATAGAAACCTGACAAAAAAGGTCCCTGCCCTTTGTACAATGTGAGTGCTGACCTAAATCTTGGGCCCACCTCCTTTAGAAGAGCATTCTTGCTTAATAGGTGTGGCGGACCTCTCGACCGGCGATGAAGAATGACCACCACACCAGGATTCCACTCAGATCACGCTTTTACTGGAGTGCCCTTGATTGACGGGGAGCATGGAATGAGGGGCGGGAAAACGAGGAACAGGGAGCAGACGGGAGAGGCAGCAGGAAGCGAAGGGGAGAGGCAGCAGGAAGCGAAGGGGCGGGGTGCCCTAAGGCAGCCGCTTAAATAGGGAATTGGCACACGGGTAGCCCTGTGATTGGCTGCCAACAACAGCTGACACCAGACCGCATCGGGATAGGCTCAAGGATCCTCATCCACTGCGCATGCGGGAAGCGGGTATGCGCAGCTCTCAAAGCCAAAGCCAAATATGGAGTTGTTTATAACCAACAAGACAGGATGTCGGCGCCATCTTGTAATGGCGATCCTGTCTGGCTCACTACAATTCCCCCTTATTGTTTGTAAGCAATGAGCGCAGGACTAACGTCATCCCAGTATGCTAATTTCAGTCTCCCCAAGTATGCTGTTTGTGGGAGTGGGTTCTTGGGTGTTTGGTCTCGTGTTCGTGGCGTTTGTGATGTTTATACTGGCCTGCTGTCTCTGGTTGCACTGCCGTAAGTCCGGCCGCAACCTCAGGGCGGGGAACAAAGTTGACGTTCCGAGAGAGGGGCGGAAGGCCCGCATTAAACACAAGAACAGTTTTTCAGATTCAGATTCAAAGGGAGGAAACTTGGAAAGGCCTGAAAGAAAAAAAGTAAGAGAAAAGGATCTCTAGCATTTGTGCACTCCTAGGTAGTATTTTTCAGCATGCTTTCTGGCCAAACTACAGGGTTTCCCAGTATTTCTGCTCCAGTGTGTTGTTCTTGATTCTTATTGAAAAAAAAAAAACGGCTTCAAAGAGTTGGAAACACCTGTAACACGGTTGCCTTGACTTTTGCCTACATTAGTCTGTTACCTTTATATCTCCACAAAGCTGCAGCAGTGGCCTTTGGTCCGGTTCCTAACAGTCCATATCCCCACCTGAAACTCCGTAATGATTGTTACACTGCTGGCTGTGTAAACCCTCATCAGGATTGCTCATGGAACTCGGCTTCCAGTGTTCTGATCCCTCTGATTGCTTTTCCAAATAGTCCCCGGTTCCTACTGCGTTTGAGCCGTGCAATAAGGAAACCATCAGAATGGGCACTCCACGATCAGGGGTAGGTTTTTATTGTAGATAAGAGAGAATGGCCAGAGGCATCTGGAAGCGTCCAGAGCAGAGAAACAGACTAGAGGTGGCCAGGGCCAGGAAAGCAGGGTGTGGAAAAATCAGGAGGGTGAGGGGAGGGAAGCTGGAGGGAGTTTAGGGTGGAGGAGGTAGGTGGTGAGAGGGTCAGGACAGGGTTTGATGTGTGTAACAAGTATGCATGAATAGGGGACTGAGGGTACCGGGGGGGCCAGCATGGACTTTGACATGCAACCTCAGGTATATGTCATGAAGAGCCTGATGTCCCTTCTGCCAGAGGTAAGGGACATGACTTTTTCTCCTCCCCCCAGCCTCCTCAGGAAGGGTTTCTCTTGCTGTCCTGGAACTCACAAAGATCCGCCTGCCTTTGCTTCCAAGTGCTGGGATTGAAGGCATGTGCCACCACAGTCCAGCAGAAACTATTTTTTTTTTTTTTTTTGCTAAACCTGTTTCACAAATTACTGAGGAACGCTGCCTTTTACCTAACTGCCAGAAACCCTTCTACAGTCCAGCTTGAGCTAAGTCAAGGCTGTCTTCTGAACATATGCACTGCTTGTAGAGTTTGGGGAATCAGTTTCCTTTGGCCCTGACACCATCACAAATCAACTCCAGGGCCTGAACAGTCCTTGTGAAGGAGTCACTGCCACCTCAGCCATCGCTTTCTAGGTGCCACACGGACAAGTCAGGCTGACATCAAAAATGAATTAAAACATTGGCTGATAAAGAAAACGCTTAGGTCCTCTGCTCTTCCCCATTCCAGACAGCATTTTCTTGTGCAGTCCAGCCTAGTCCCTAAAACACGATGGTTATGGTCGGGGTGACTGGATTTGACTGTACTGGGCACACCTAGTTATCAGGGCTGCCTTCGACTCGAGGCAAAGTGGATATTGTTTGCCATCAATGACCCCTTCATTGACTACAAATACATGGTGTACACGTTCCAGTACAATTCTACCCATGGCAAATCCCGTAGCAGTCGAAGTTCAGAATGGGAAGCCTGACATCGACGAAAAGACCAGCTCCATCTTCCAGCAGTGATGCCACCGCAAATGCTGATTGTGTTGTGGGGTCTACTGGCATCTATCTGTACCACCATGGAGAACAAGGCCCACTTGAAGGGCGGAGCTTCAAGTGGCACTTCTGCCCCTCATGCTTGTAACGGGTGTGAACCGTAAGTAGGACAATTAACTGAGTCTCAGCAAGGTCCCTTGCACCACTAACTGCTTAACTCCCCCCCCCCCCCCCCCCGCCACGAAGGTCATCTCTAACAGATTTAGCACCAAGAAGGGACTTACGACTACAGTTCATGCCATCACCACCACCCAGTGTACTGCAGATGGCCTCTGGGAAACACAGGGCTGCCTGAAACATCCCTGCACCCGCTGACAAAAAGGCTGTGGGCATGGTCATCCCTGACCTACCTGGGAAACTCATTAGTATCGCCTTCCGTGTTCCTACCCGTGTCCACTGTGGCTCTGACACAGCACCTGAAGTTGCCAAGCGTGACAAGGTGGTGAAACATGACAAGGGCATCCAGGGTCATGCTGAGGAGCAGGCTGCCTGTGGCACCCTTAACAGCGATACCCACTTACACGCCTTTTTTGTTGTTTTGCTTGAGACAGAGTTTCTCTGTGCAGCTCTGGTTGTACTGGACCTCCCTTTCTAGATCAGGCTGGCCTCTGACTCAGAGATCCACCTGCCTCTGCCTAACAGTTGTTATGTCGGAGGTACTTAGACCTTGAAGAAATCATAGCAGAGAACAGGGGCTGTTTTCTATGATTCCGAGTAGTTTTTCTGAAGTTTTCCATTCACTGCATGACTGGTCACAGCTGTCCTGGCACACCTGGAGCGTCTTGCATGTTGGGCACTGCGAACACTACACAGTAAGGACTGAAGTTGCAGGAGTGTGATGTTTTTCTTTAGAGAACATACAGATCTAAATGGCTTCAGTATGAGGAACGTGTCTTACAATCAGTAAGTACACCTCTGAAGGGGCTGGAGGTTCAGTCCATCAGAGGCCGGCTTCCCTTCTGCTGCCTGGATTACTCTGGAGGGACCCTCTTTCCCTGATGGTCAGCGCATCACAGAACACCAGCGGCTGGATTACTCTGGAGTGACCTCTTTCTCTGAAGGTCAGTGCATCACAGAACACCAGCGGCTGGGGCTGCATCACTTCAGCAGCATCATCAAGCTCACTTCCTGGTGTGACATTGACTAAGGCTGTGCATCAGGGTGGTGCGCCTCGTGGCCTACACGGTCTTCAAGGAGGAGTCTGAAACCCTGAACTACACACCACAGCAAGGAGAGAGAGGAAGACAGAGGCCATCGGTTGCTGAGAAGGTCCTGTCCCAACTCATTCCCTAACACCAAGCATGTCCTGTTTCTATTGTAGAACCCCACACTCATGAGAACCATCAATACAGTTCACTGTACCCACCCACAAAAATGCTTACAACGGTACTTTATTCAACAAAAACACACACTCAAAGTGCCCAGTTTCCCGAGCACTTTGGAAGCCTTAAATAAAGCTTCGTTACAAAATCTGAAGCCTTAAAAGAAGGATTTCTGCTATAAAATAGGACAAGATCATTCTAAAGTCATGCTCACTTTGAAAACTCAGATTTTTATAGCTAAAAAAATAGCAACGTGTGGCAAACCTTTATTTTGCTAAGACATACACATATGAAGCAACACAACAGCACACACAACCCAGGCTCTAAACACCTAAGCACGACAGTGGCTTTGAGCAAGTCCACAGGCCTCAGGTTTGCAGGGGCCTCTTCTCCCTTTCGCCCAAGGTTAGAAGTCTTGGCGGATGTTCTCCTTGTTTGCCTCCCCATGCTGCTGCTTGATTTGATAGATCTCGTTCTCCAGCTGTACGATAGTCCGCTCAATCTCATAGTTCTTACTTACCAGGGATACCCAACTAGGAGAGTGAAAAAAAACAAAAGGAGAAGAAAAAAGGAAAAATAACTTCATGCAAAATTTCTTTCAGTTTATCTTAAACATATAGTTTCATTCAGGGCACTAACATTTTTAACTTTCTGTTTAAAAAAAGTGAAGCCCACTTATGGGAAAGCAGCAAAGAGACACAGGATGTCTCTGCATTATTTTTTATTATCATAAATGAATCTACAATTGTCTCATGACAATTTTTCCTCAGGAAATGGCAAAATAGGAAAGAATTAAGACAGAAGAGACAGGAAGGAGTAATGGAAGACAGTGTAAGACTAACAGAAAACAGGGCAGAGTCTCAGAAAATGGAGGACAAGATTCCAGAACTGAAGAAAAAATAAAACTCACAGACTGAAGGAGGTCACTATTTCCTGTCAATAATCTCAAGGGCAAATGTAAAAGTGCAAGCCTGAAGAAAAATATGGACGCCCCCTCCCTCCATGGCACTAAAGACGGGAAGAGGGACAAGGGGATGGTGTGGGTGAGGAAGGGGAACGGAGAAAAACAGAATGACATATAAACATCACAGGGTGTAGGGTATTTAATTTCTCTTTTTGGGGTTTCTCACTCTGTAGCCAAGGCTGGCCTTAAGCTCAAATCCTTCCTTAATTTCTCACATGTTGAGTAAGGTACTCATGGCCATACACAACTTAGTTAGGCCTTTCTATAAATGATATATGTAAGCATATGTAGAAGAATATTTTAAAAATAATATGCATTAGCAGGGAAAAACAAATTAAAGCACAAACAAGTTAGGCAAATTATGGGATTCCCCTTCCTACAAGAATACCGGCCTCAGGTTGGGGGCTGAGAACGCACCACTCAGCAGTAGCTCAGCCCTGTCTGCAGTCCTGGCTTCTCTGTATGGCCTTCCTCAGCAACCGCAGGCATACAAACAGCCTTTCTCTGATTCCCGCAGCACCCACGTGAATATTACTGTAATCTTAGCTCTTGCTCTTAGAACTAAACAACATAAGACACGGTGAATTATACACTCACTTTGACTCCATTTCTCTCAATTTAGATCCTGCTGTGAGCTGCATATTTTTTCGCTGCCAGTTTAAATCTTGAATATGTTTCCTGTAAAAATATTTTATACAACCCAATGACATTATAACATATGATAAAAACCAACAGAACAATACAGAAAGTATCTTTAAACTCTTTAGGGTTCACACACACAATTATAGGCTAATCCGAGAAACTAACTTTCTGTTAATTATTTTTCAATTACAAATTTCAGAAAATATGCTCATTGTGGGAGAAAACAAAATACCAACTAACTACAAACATGTATGTAGATTACAAACCCCCCTTCTGCGCACTTTCCCTGGCAATGGCTGAGCGAGTTTCAGTGCACTGCACTTCAAATGTCCTGTCTAACATTCACACCGAGTGCTGGGGGTGGAAGCTGGTCCAATACCGTGCCCAGAGGCGGACTTTACAGAGGGGTTTGGATTAGAGCGGGTTATCAGAACAGAATTCCAAAAACAGAACACTAGTGGCTTTAGAGACTGAAACACACACATGCAGCCACCTTGTCTCTTGTCATGTGATCCCCTGGACCAGGTTGGCGCATCTGTCCCTAACGGGGTTGTCAACAGATACACTTTTTCAGCCTCAGCTCTCCACAACTGTGAGCCAAAATAAAGACCTTCTCTTTCAGACTTACCTAGATTCTTTCCTGTATGTGCATGTGTGTGCAGTGTGTTACCCTGCACTTACCCAAGGTGTTCTTTCTAAGTTTGCAGATTTATGAGTTGTAGAACACAAACACGCTTTCAGGTTTCAAGCTTATTCTTACCTCCGCTTAGGTACAGCAAACTCAGTGCCAGATGCTGGCCCCAGTAGATCAGTTAGTACATATTAAATGGCTATCTGTTAAATGATCTACTGTCGAAAACCAAATCAACTTAAAAATATAAATCCAAAATGAAGACAATTTCTTGCACTTGTATGTGAAGCTCTATGCTACCCAGCCATTTGGTCCCGCCAATCCACAGTCTACCAGCCCTTTGACCAAAGAGCAGGCTCTCCGGTGCAGCACGTCTGGCTCTTCCTAACCCTTCTTTCCAACTATAAAGGAGCTTCGCAGCTCTGGTTGGAGGCCAGGCCAATTTCCCAGGCTTCCCTGCCAACTGTTCCACGTGACCCCTGCTGACCAGGTACCCTCAGGTACAAACCCCTTTAGACAGCATTGGGGCTACAGCTGTCTTCCACACTTCTGGCTCAATCTATGAACTGTTCAAGGGATTCCCAACCCACTGCTCATAAAACAGCAAACATCAAGAAAGTCTAGCCCGAGCTTCCCTTCAATACCCACGACATATAATATAAACTTTGACCTTTGCTGCTCCTGCTAGCTATCTACCATTTAGAATTCATGAATTTCTATTTCTTTCTTTTTTTAAAAAAAGATTTATTTATTATGTACACAGTATTCAGCCTCCATGCCTGCAGGCCAGAAGAGGGCACCAGACCTCTTTACAGATGGTTGTGAGCCACCATGTGGTTGCTGGGAATTGAACTCAGGACCTTTGGAAGAGCAGTCAGTCAGTGCTCTTAACCTCTGAGCCATCTCTCCAGCCCCCTGAATTTCTATTTCTTAAAGGTAATTATTCTACACACCCTGACAGCAATACACAATTAAAAACTAACTGCTTAACCAAAGTGGATTAGCTATTTACTTTTACAGGACTATATGTAGTCTTAGTGGTTTTCCCCCCCCGCTCTATCAGGGCTCATCTAAATCTCACTCAAATAAAAAAAAACTTACCTTAACTTTTGAAGTTCTTTCTGTGCATGTTCAATCATATGAACGAGGTTTCTAAGGAAGGAAGAGCACATACACTCTGAAATCTGGTAACACCAACGAAAACTAAACTACCTATTTTTATTATTCAAAGTCAGGTTTTTCTGCTAAAAATACTACATCCTGGGATCTCCGTGTCTAGTATGTTAGATAATTCATAAATAAAGCTTGTTTAACGCAACGCATCACTGACAGCTTGATTCTGGATACTGATGTTAGTAACAAAAGTCAGGGTTTCTCTGTGTAGCCCTGACTGTCCTGGAACTCACTCTATAGACTCAGAGGTACGCCTGCCTCTGCCTCTCAAGCGCTGAGATTAAAGGAGTGTGCCACCACCACCCACAGTGGTTCTTCTTAAATTCTCAGGACTTGTGTTTTGGAGGGGGTGTCCCACTAAGCGGATCAGGATGGCCCTGAACTCCTGCACTTGGAGAAACCCTCTTGCCTCAGCCTCTGTTCCAGACTGGCCTCAAACTCTTAAGATCTGCCTGCCTGTCTCCCAAATTCTGGGATTAAAGGTGTGCACCACTACCATCTGGCTTTTTTTTTTTTTTAAGGCAAGACTTTATTTTATAGCCCAAGCTGGCTGGGAACTCATGGTGATCCCCCTATCTCAGCCTCCTGAGCATTGCTGGACTACAGGTGAGGGACCATCCTGACCAGGACTTTAAAGAACACGACACATAGATATAAAAATCAGACTGCATTGTATGGTACTGTCAATCACCCTCCGAGCTCATTTTCTTATACCATCAGTGAACAGGGTTAGTTATGTGAACGAGGCTAGCCCTAGTGAACTGAGATAGGACTCCAGCATCTCACTGTTGTAGTTCGACACATCCCAAGTCAAATCTAGCATAACTGTTGTTGCTGTTATTCTGGATCCAGGGTTGTGCTATATAAGCCTAGGATAGCCTCAAACTCAATATATAAACCAGACAGGCCCCGACTTTGTGGTAGTCCCCCACCTCAGCTTTCTAAGTGCTGGGAAGTACTTAGAATGTGTGTGCACAGCACACTTATGAAAAGACACTGAAAACTCAGGAGAACCAATGCGTCTTACTCATTGTACACCTTCCAGGCGTTACACCCGTGCTGTGACATCAGCTCCAGATTCTCGATTCGAACTGCCTGGTGCTCTAACTGGGCCATGGAATTGTTTACACACTCTTGCCAGGCAGTGATGTCATTTTTTTGACCCGAGGAAGGGGCTGGAAGTTCATATCTGAAATTATACAACAAATAAATAAACCAGCATATCTTGCCAAGCCTTTAATCACTCCTTCCACTAGAGTCCTCATGGATATACACCTGCTACATAAAGACAAAGAAACCAATTACCAGTCCCTACCCACACATGAACAAGTGACTGAGGCAGTAAAGAAACCCATTACCCTAGAAACTAATTTACAAATAAAACGCAGCTGCATATTGTAACAAAGAGATTTCCATAAATATGAACTAGTTAAATAACCTAAAACGTCTCGGAGACTCTGATGTCTCTCATCCCTGCTTGTCACCATGACCCATCTTGGGTAAAGTCTGTTAGCTTTTTAAAAAGTTGCTAAAAATATATTTGCTAACACATTTTGGTTTAAAAAGGTGGTAGTCATGTTTACAGCACACAACACTATCTTCTACCCTCACTGCCTACTCAGCTGGACCCCTCCCAACCTCAGCCACCTTCCTCACCTCACTCACCGTTTCATGCTGAGTAATTCGATTGGTTGTCGGGCAGCCAGTCTCTCGAATTCATTTCTCATTATGTCCGTCTGGTGCACAAACAACAAAGAATCAGGCCAGGATCGTGCTGAAGATAATGTTTACTGAGACTCGATACTTTAATTTTAATGGATCCTTTTGCTTCTCTCAATTACTACCCCTCCCTTCTTTTAACTAAGTTTTTTTTTTTAAATATTTATTTATTTATTATGTTCTGTCTGTATGCCTGCAGGCCAGAAGAGGGCGCCAGACCTTATTACAGATGGTTGTGAGCCACCATGTGGTTGCTGGGAATTGAACTCAGGACCTTTGGAAGAGCAGTCAGTGCTCTTAACCTCTGAGCCATCTCTCCAGCCCTAACTAAGTTTTTTTTGAGACAGGGTTTCTCTATATAACCCTGGCTATCCTGGAACTCACTCTGTAGACCAGGCTGACCTCGAATTCACAAAGACCCGCCTGTCCCTGCCTCCCTAGTGCTGGGATTAAAGGTGTGCGCCACCAGCACTCGGCCTCCCCACCTGTTTTTAAAGAATAGCAATATTTGCACACAAGTATACCACTGCCTACCTGCTAGGTGGTCTGGGACTTGTGCCCTGACATTCCTTTACCTGAAGAACCCTTGCCAGTTCTCACCACTGAATTCATAGCAGCGCAGATCACAGCCCTTCTGTTGGCACTAGGCATAAGTGCAGGAGTAGCCATGGACTGACGACTTCCCTAACTATTTACCATCGGCTTTCCTCGCAGTTCACCCAGATTTCCAACAGGTAGCTCAGACCATCCTCACCCTTCAGGGTCAGATAAGACTCGCTGGCCACTGCAGCACTATAAAATCGGAGTGGTTAGATTTACTAATAGCAGAGAGAGGGGGTCTTTGTCTCTCTCTTGGGGAAGAATGTGGCTTGCAGAGAGAGGGGGGTCTTTGTCTCTCTTGGGGAAGAATGTGGCTTCTATGTTAACCAATCAAGTATAGATGGTAAAGGATAAAATACAACAACTTCAGACAGACCTTCAAAAACATAAGGAACAGTTTGCTGCCTCTGGCCAGAGTCACTGACAGTGCAGTAAAGATCTGGGTACCACCCTTCAGAACTCCTCTTCTCCCTCTGTTCTTAATCCTACTAAATCTGCCAAATGTTTCAGGAAGCCCCTGGTGCCATGGGGTCTGACATAGTGTAAATCCCACATGCTCCAGTTTAAAACAGCAGCTTCAAGCGTATGGTGGGTGGAGGGGGGGGGGGGGCGGCGCACGCCTTTAATCCCAGCACTGGGGAGGCAGAGAAAGGTGGATCTTTGCAAGTTCAAGGCCAGCCTGGTCTACAGAGCTAGTTCCAGGACTGGCTCCTTAGCTACTGAGAAACCCTGTCTCAAAAAACAAAACAAACAAAAAAGAAACCCAGCAGCTTCAACAAAATCACACGATGCAACATGTACCAGCACTGCTAGGATCCTGGATCTGGGACTTGATTTCTGAACTAGCCACACTAGTTATAAGACCTCCATGAGGGGTCACAGCACATTTAAGGACCTGAGTTCTAGACGAGGAAGGTATCACAACTACCTAAGTGCAGGGAGTCGTCTCTCTCTCAGCCATTAATTAACGTATGACAGCCACCCAGCTTCCATCGCATCTCTGTGTAGTCCTAGCTGTCCTGGAACTCGCTCTGTAGACCAGGCTGGCCTCAAACTCAGAGATCTGCCTGCCTCTGTTTCTTGAGTGCTGGGACTAAAAGTGTGCAATACATTCTGTTCAGCGTGCATAGACATCACTTCTATGAAGAGTAGATGCTTCAAAATACAGACACAGGTAAGCAACTCTCTGATAGGAGTCCAGTAGTCTAGGGAGCAACAAGAATCCATGTGTGTAAGCCGGGCAGTGGTGCACGCCTTTAATCCCAGTGCTCGAGAGGCAGAGAGGTAGGTGGATCTGTGTGTTCGAGGCCAGCCTGGTCTACAGAGCTAGTTCCAGGATGGCTAGGGCTGTTACACAGAGAAACCCTATGTTGAAGCACACACACACACACAAAGGAAAATAATTTATACATACAATTACAACAAATTAAAAAGTTTTTTGTTTTTTTTTAACGACAGGTGCACACCTTTAATCCCAATACGTAGTAGGTAGGGGCAGGAGGATCTCTGTGAGTTTGAGGCCAGCCTGGTTTATAAAGGGAGTTCCAGGACAGCCAGCTTATCACAAAGAAACCATGTGTGCATGTATGTGTGTGTGTGTGTGTGTGTGTGTGTGTGTGTATGTTCCAAAAAACCCCAATTACCAGAGTGAAGAGACCTTACAGAATAAACGTCTTTGCCAGCTATTCATCTCACAGGGGATTAATATCCACAATCTATAGAGACTAGGAAAAACCTAAACATCAAAGGACAAGTACCACAGTAAGCAGACAGGCAAATCAGCCAAACAGTTATCAGAAAATGCAAATCAAAACTACATCAAATCTGGGAGTGGCGGTCATGCCTTTAATCCCAGCAGTTGGAGGTACAGATAAGAGATTGGCAATTCACGGTTACCCCAGGGTACAAACTGAGTTCAGTGCCACTTTGAGCTACTTGAGACTGTGTCTAAACACACACACACACTTCTACATTAAGAGCTGGATGTGGTGCCTGTAATTACAACACCCACAAACCTGAAGCAGAAAGATTATTTCAAGTTCAAAGCTGACCTGTCCTAGTGAATTCCAGAAGCTTGAGCTACAGCCTTGAAAACACCAAAGTTAACTGACAGAAGAATAAAAATGAAGTTATGTAATTCATAGGACTGTTTTCTGAGCTAAGGAAGACAGTCCAATACACCATTAGCAACTATTAAGAAAGGACTAAATTAACCAGAACACTAATTATAAAGGCAGGAATCACGCTGCATTTGAAAAGGGTAGAAAGTTTGTAACTGATATGTGATTAGGAGCTAAGTGGCATTTTGGTTGCACCTGTCGCATTTAAAATGGTCTGCAGTTCAACATGTTTGTTAGGGATTCACACACCCGCTAAATACCCGAGTTTTGGTACACAAATCTCCCTCCAGTGGCTGCAAAGAGTACAAGTAGTTAAGATTGTAAATACTAAAATCCCGTGATTCCTACCTGTTTGGAGTGGACCTTAGACAATAAAGGGGAAAGGATGCTTTTGTGAAATTTACTAGGGGCTCTACTAAAAATAAAAAACCCAAAGTATTTTTTTTTTAAAACAAGTCTGTAGAGAGAAACCAATAAAGTATTTCTGGGGTTAATGTAATATGAACCCTGCGGAAAGCTCATCTGGCTATTTTGAACCAACTGATCCCTACATGACATGCAAAATGAGCATCAAGCAGCAGTAAACCTGGAAGATGTCCATTTCACACAGCTAAAGCCCTCAATCCGAAATCTAAGTCGGCAGGAAGCCTGGTCGGGGCGCGGGGCTCAGGACACCGCACTTACTTCAAAGGCGGAGTAATCCGGGGCTGTCAGGTAGCTCAGGTAGTTCTTGGTCGGGCGGTACCTGCGCGTCTCCTCCTCCACCAGGGCCGCAGCCTAAGAACGAGAAGAGGCCGGGGTCGCGGCGGGAAAGGGCAGCGTGCCTCGGGCGGCCTCGCCGCACACCCCCCGCACTCACCGCTTCCCGCACGCCGGGCGCCTCGTAGCCTTGGTCAAAGTACGGCAGCGCATCCACCACCACCTCCCCGGCTACCAAGCCCGTGCCCGCCATTGCGCGGCACTGGTCTGCACGAGCGCCGCCTGAGTCTGCGCAGGCTCAGTTCCGTTCCACGGCGCCTGCGCGCCTGGAGCTGACGTCATACACGTCGCAGACTCTTCTATGCGGGCGCGTGCACATTTGCAAATTCTGTAGCCAGCTCTCACCCACTGACGTTCTTGCAGGCCTGGCACCTTGCCTGTCTTTCCGTGGGTCCCGCGTATGTGTGTGTGTGTGTGTTTCTGAAGCTCCGACGACAATTTTATTAAGAGTTTAAGAGAAAAACAATAGGTCAGGTATGAGGCAAGACATGGGGGAGAGGGAGAGAAAGCCAAGTCTTCCGAGTTAGGCATGGAGGTTAGCCGTGCAGGTCAGACTAGCAGCCACATAGCAGAAGAGAGAGGGATTTAAGAGCGAGAAAGCAAGAAACATTCGGGGCGTGGGGACTTTATAAGAGGCGGTCGCTAGACTTGACTAAAAGAGAGAAACATATTTCCCACACCATTTAATTCCCTTCTAAACTGACATAATATTGAGCTTCTAGCATTCTTTGCTTTATCCTCATTTCGCAGGCCCTTTAAGAATGTTCTTTTACAGACACTAGAAATGGGAGCCTGTTTCCAATGAAAATGAGTCTTCAGATCTAACCACCTTTTTTAAGAAGCTGGGGGTGCGATTCAGTGGTAGAGCCGCATTTCAATCCCCAGCGCTGCAAACACCTCTTCCCTTCCAGGACTGGAATTACATCTACAGGATGCCTCGTTTAAAAAGCTGTCATGTTTTTTTGTCTTTAGGCCTATGTAAAACCCAATCATTTGCCTTTAGAATTTGTGGTAATAGTGCTCCTCCTTGGCTCCCAAGCCCTTGGCTTATAGCTGGCATATATTCTCTGTTCAGTATCTCCCAGATGAAGAGGTAATGCAAAAAATTGATGTGGGACTATATTTCCTGCCTAATGTGCATTCAACCAAGGCTCGTTTGTTAAGGGCTTTGGGAAAGTTGCTCTCAGCTATAAGCCTGGTTAGGCTAAGGTGGATAGAGGATGTGAATGTGCGGCCTATAGGTTTAAGTGAAAGCGCTTCCCAACTTGTTGGATGCGACCTGGCTCTCCTAGGCTTAGGTGTGTGAACACTCGGTCCCCAGTTGGTGGCGCTGTTGCGGTGGTTTAGGAGGCGCAGCCTGGCAGAGGCCAGTCAGCCACTAGGGGTGGGAGAGTTTAAAGCCTCACTCTGCTTCCAAATCGCTGTTTGGAGACTTGAGCTCTCAGCTCCCCACCCCTGCCTCCATGCCTTTGGCTTGGCGCCATGCTTCCTCACCACGATGGGCTCTTCTCCCGCGGACCTGTCAGTCAAACAAGCTTTCTTCCAGTTGCTTGTTTTATCACTGCAGCAGGAACGTAACTAATACACGTCTCAAGTGGATTTATTTTAAATTCTCCAGGAGATCAGTGGGACTTTTAAAATGTCTTTATTCATTAAAAGATCTGTAAACATTTGATAGAAATCTTGAACAATTCTTTTTACAAACATGTCCAATATTCACAACATTTTACAAAAACAAAACACGACAAACTCAAGGAAAGGAAGCAGCTTTAGATTGTAAGATTCTCGTCCCCAAGGCACAGTCAAGACCAACCACAGCAAACACTCCTATTCCCATCTCATAAACAACCAATGGCTCCTTCAGGACTGGAGTGTGAGAAGAGACACCAACATTTAAAGACACAGGCCCAGTTCTTTCCCTGGACCCACACTTAGGAATCATACTGCACGGCACCAGCCTGCCTGCATTCATTCAGACACGCGTGGATGGGTAGTAGTGACAGGACTGGACAGTCAGTCCTATCCTAGCCCAATGTACAGCACTTTAGCCTGAGTGAATCTTTTCCATTCTAGGGAACGCCGTTAGCAAAGCCCAAGGAAAACAACTGACATTTGCCACAACAATTATCATCTATCAATGAAAACCGCGCCTTCATTGACAAACTCCTTTTTCCCAGGCACTAGTCACACTTTAGATTTTCAGCATCTGGATGATGAAGAGGTATAGGCTTAGGAAATACTGAGTCTAATTAGAACAAAAACTTACAACGACGTAAGAATAATCAGTGGGGCGGAGCACACAGCAAGCCCTGGGTTCTATTCCCAGCACCAAAGACAGACACAGAACAGTGTCTCATGAAGACACCCAGAGCTTGAAGTCTCAACGAAGCTTAGAGACCGCTCTGGGATACTCCATGGAGAACTTTAAACATTGCTATAACACTAAAGAGCCCCAGCTTCCATCTGTAGGACTCACTAGCTTTCTCTGTGTTCGTCAGTCAACTGTTTTGGCTTAGCTCTGTCTGAAGCGCATAACTGGCCAAATCACTTAACCTTTTGGAACTCCAGTTTCTTGCAAAATATCACGAAGCTGATGGAAGACTTGAATAAAATGACATATGGAAATGTACCACAGTGCAGCAAATTGTGAACACCAGAAGCCAACAACAGGTAGCTTACGTCCTCGAAGGGACATCTTCACATTGGCTCTATTCCGCACAGCGTAAGAATGCTGACAGGCGAGAGGCGAGCTACTCTGCAGGACATATGGTGATGAGGACCAGCATGGGGTCTACCTTTTTTAAGGTACTAACATGAGTGAAATTCTCTTAAGATAGGCCATGGGACAAAAGGGGGTTATCAACAGAGGGAACACTGGAATCTGAAAGTCCAAGCAGCCCCTGTTAAAGCAGCTCGATGTTCTCCTGCCGAGAACCGCGTAAGGTGTACCCAGTGTTCTCCATCCCCACAAAGTCTCTCTAGCGCCTGGAACTCAGCATTTTCTCTTAGTCTCATCTTTGCATTGTTCTAAACAATGCAGCACCAAGTCTTTCCAAGTATTTTTCTTGTACGGAACGACTGCTTTCATAGACTAAGAACAAATGAGCTTCTTGTAGCCACCAATAACTAAAGAGAAACACCACAGTAAAAATAATTTGGCTAGGCATGGTGATACTTGCCTTTAATCCCAGCACTTGGGAGTCAGGGGAAGGCAGATCTCTGTGAGTTTGAGGCCAGTCTGGTCTATAGAGTGAGTTCCAGGACACCCAGGGCTACATAGAGACCCTGTCTCAGAAAACAAAACCAACCAACCAACCAGCCAACCAACCAACCAACCAACCAACCAAACGAAAAGTTCCCAAATTAGAAGCAGAAGAGAGCACACTGGCTCTCAGGTTGGTCTGCAGCAACAGGAGAGTCCTCCTCTGACAGCCTTTCTCCTTCCACCATCTTAAGGACTCTCCAGGACTCTTCAGTGCGTCCAGACCCCTGGAGACATGCTGTCTTTGGCACTTTCCATTGTGTTTAGAATGAAGACACATTCACTTCTTGTGGAGAAATCTCATTTTGCTTCCTGGAAGGAGGAGAAGAGAGTGAGTACCTCGTTTGATCTTCACCCGTTGTACATCTGAGGCAAGAGACTAACAAGCTGGCCACTCAGAACCACTCACGAGCTCAGTGGCCTTGTCAAGCACTGTGGTGGGGAGAAGTGTCCCCCAAATCCTACATGTAAAAGCTTGGAAATGGAACCTGAAGGAGGTGCGACCCAGAGGGGGGACGGCTGGTCATGAGTGTTCCCTTGTAGGTACTCAGCCCTTTCCCATCACTGCTTCCTAGCAGCCATGACACAAACAGCTTCTTCTACCTTCTTCTACCCACGTCTCGCCATAATGTATTACCATGCCACAGGCCCAAAAGCATCAGGGTCAATCAGCTATGGGCTGAAACTCCCCTAACCAGGACTCAAATAAGCCTCCAGAGGCCAAGGCCTCGTTCTTAACCACCTTCTGTTTCTGTTGTACTAATGGAGAGCTATCAGCTGATGTGTTTAGCCACTAAAAAACCCGTGAGTGTCTAATTGCAGAGGGGGAAAAGAACTCAAGACATAATCTAATACAAGTGGTTTTCAGCTCGAACTGTAGTTTCAAATTACCTGGCCTGCTCTCTGGAGATTTCTCAGAGCTCAAGGGAAACTTTTTTTTAAAGTCCCTAAAGATTATCATCTGATCGAATCTAGCCCCAAGGCACAGATGAAATCATAGCCTGCGGCGTTTGCCTGTGGTCCCTCAGCTATTTAGGGACAGGGTCTAACCAGAGGCACACATGCCGAAGCTCGAAGCTGGGGAGTATGATACCATTGTTTGGATGGACACACCGCTGTTCTCATGTCGTACTGGAATTTAAACATCATAAGGAAATGCAAAATCAGAGTAAGGCATTCTCTCTGCTTCCCAGTCCCCCAGATCAGGTATTTTATAAATCAGGGGTCGATGGACACCCTAAAATTATATGTAAAATTTATCTGTAAAAATTTTTCTGCTAAATAGGACCACTTTTAAAAAGCATGCCCAAAGGATGTAACCTAGAACAGCTTCGTGATCATGAAATGGAAAGTTTTACCATAAGGTTAGTTAGGGGCTTCGCTAAGGGAGACAGCCCAGGCCCACCCTGCTGGGGAATCCCCAGCATTTGAGGTGACCGGCTTTCTGAGACATTAGGACCCAGGGTCACAGTGTCCAGTCAGTCAGCTAGAGGTTGCATTGCCGATTGATTATGAGTCTTCAGGATGAGGTTTGTTTACTGCAAAGGTCTTGTACAGTCGTTTATCTTACAGGAGAACAAAGCAACTCACCAAGACTCCGCAAAATTCTATTCACCCCACTGGGTTCTGACTCGGGAATTGTTTCCAAATACTGGAGAGCCCGGACTTCAAATAAACCTATAAAGAAGGCATAGTGGTGAGACTGTCCAACACTCCATCCTAAAAACCAATTCAATAAAACCTTTCTTTTCTTTTGCTTTTTTGGCAGTGCTGTGGGCAGACTCTGGCCTTTGCACACGCTAGGCATGTTCTACTCCTGAGCTATACCCCTTTTTACTTGTTTATTTACTTAATTTGTGTATGTTCATGCCTTTATGTAAGTGTATGGGGTTGGCATATGCACACATGTAGAGGTTAGAGGTCAGAGGTCAGGGAGTGGTATCTGTTCTCTTCTAACACATTGAGCCAGGGATGGAACTC